TGTCGTCCATCATGCAGATGAGCATGCCCATGCCGTTCGCACCCATGACAACGTCACCGCCGCTCCCGCACTTTCAGCCGGACACCGATCACCTGATAGTCCCCAAGTACCACAAGCTATCGTTCCCGTCGTTCGACGGCCAGGATGATCCGCTTGGTTGGCTGAACAAGTGCGAACAGTTCTTCCGTGGCCAACAAACACGCCTGTCCGATCAAGTCTGGCTGGCCTCGTACCACCTCACTGGCGCGGCGCGGCAGTGGTATCTCGTCCTTGAGAGCGAGATCGGCCGTCCACTGTGGCCGGAGTTCCGGACTCTATGCCAACAGTGGTTCGGGCCGCCCCTCAGCACTAACCACCTAGCCGATCTGGCCAGGCTGCCCTTCACATCCACCGTCGACAACTACATGGAGGCGTTCCAGCGCGGCGCACGCGGGTACTCTCACTCCCCTGCAGAAAGCACAGCTCTTCACCGGCGGTCTTTTCGGACCACATCTGCGTCGATGTCGAGCTCCATGAGCCGCAGACCCTCCAACACGCCATGCGGCTGGACCTGCGCATATGAGCGGCACAATGCACCGATCCTCCCCGTGCTACCGGCTCCTGCACGGCCACACCGGCGTCCCGGGGGCGCGCCCGTGGCCCTCCCGGCTCCTGTGGGCTCTCAGGCAGCGCCCACGGCTTCGTCGCCCTCTGCCACAACTCCATCGCCGCGCGCATCTACAAGAGGCTGACCCCGGACGAGATGGCCGAACGCCGTAAGCAGGGGCTCTGCTACAATTGCGACGAACCTTACATCCGCGGCCACAAGTGCGCACGCCTCTTCTTCCTCAAGGCGGCGGACTACATCGTCCAAGAGCCCGAAGAGGATGACAACAGGCCAGCGGCATCGACCGTTTCGGCGGCTCCGTTCGACCCCGACGAGCCGCTCATATCCCTCTCCGCTATCACGGGGATCCGCGCAGAAGACACCATGCAACTCCGCGTCCAGATCGACGCGCACGAGCTGACGGCGTTGCTCGACTCTGGTTCCACCCACAACTTCGTCAGCGCCTCGGCAGCTCGGTGCACTGGGCTCCAGTTCTAGGACAGCCGCGGCGCCCACGTCGTCGTGGCAAACGGCGACCACGTGGCCTGTCGGGGGTTGCACATAAAATCGCTCTGTGGACAGGGGAGGAACACTTCATGGTGGACTGCTACTCCATTCCCCTCGACTGCTATGACATGGTCCTCGGGGTTACATGGCTGCGCACCCTGGGCCCCATCTTGTGGGATTTCGATGACCTCTGCATGGCATTCAACCACCACGGCCGACGCGTCCTGTGGAAGGGCATCGGGTCAACCCACACGAACATTCCACTGACGGGCCATCTCCATGCTGCCCGCGTCCACGCCGCCCGTGGCACAGAGTCGCAGCTCCTGGAGCGGCTACTGGACGCCTACACCGACATCTTTGACCCCCCGTCCGTCCTACCGCCAGCACGCCCGTGTGACCACCGCATCCATCTCAAGCCGGCCACGGATCCTATAGCCGTACGCCCTTATAGGTACCCCCAGCTACAAAAGGATGAGCTGGAGGCGTAGTGTGAGGCTATGCTGCAGCAGGGCATCATCCGGCCCAGTACTTCACCGTTTTCGGTGCCTGTCCTTTTGGTCAAGAAACAAGACAAGACCTAGAGATTCTGCGTCGACTACAGGGCTCTCAACGTAGCCACGGTGAAGGACAGGTTCCCCATCCCCGTGGTAGAGGAACTCCTGGACGAACTTCATGGCGCTCGCTTCTTCACGAAGCTCGACCTTCGCTCTGGATATCACCAAGTCCGTGTCCATCTGGAGGACGTGGCCAAGACGGTGTTCCACACGCACCATGGCCACTTCGAATTCTTGGTCATGCCGTTCGGCCTCTCAAATGCACCATCGACGTTACAGGCCCTGATGAACTTCATCCTCAAGCCCTTCCTGCGTCGTTGTGTGCTCGTCTTCTTCGACGACATCCTAATCTACAGCGCGTCTTGGATCGAGCACCTGCAGCACATCCGCGCCGTCTTCGATTTTCTGCGCGAGCATCAACTGCACCTTAAATGTTCCAAGTGCGTGTTTGCCTCGTCGTCGGTCCAGTACCTTGGCCACGTGATCTCGGCCGAGGGCGTCGCGATGGACAGCTCCAAGGTGGACGTCGTCCAGGCCTGGCCGCAGCCACGCTCTGTCCGTGGCTTGCGTAGGTTCCTGGGCTTGGCCGGATACTACCGACGTTTTATTCAAAACGTCGGCTCCATCACGGCTCCACTCACACAACTGCTCAAGCGGGACGCGTTCCAGTGGTCTGCGGCCACAGAGGCGGCGTTTGCGGCCTTGAAGGCCGCCCTGTCCGGCGCTCCTGTCCTACATCTCCCCAACTTCAGCAAGGAGTTCATGGTGGACTGCGATGCATCCGAGTCGGGCTTCGGTGTGGTACTTCACTAGGGCGCGGGGCCACTCGCCTTCTTCAGTCGACCGTTCGTAGTTCGGCACCTCAAGGTGGCCGCATATGAGCGCGAGCTCATTGGCCTCGTTCAAGCGGTGCGGCATTGGCGTCCCTATTTGTGGGGGGGCGCGTTCATCGTCCGCACCGACCACTACGCCCTCAAATATATGCTGGATCAGCGGTTGTCAACCATTCCACAACACCAATGGATTAGCAAGCTGTTTGGTTTTGATTTCAGGGTCGAGTACCACCCCGGGCGACTGAACACGGTCGCCGACGTGCTGTCGCGCCGTGACGGCGACACGCCCCTTCTGACGTCCCTATCCATGTCCTATGGCGGCGACACCACTCTCCTGGCGACTAGGTCTATGCCCACGTTCGCACTCTACGACGACCTGCGCCAGGGGCTCGCCCAGGACGCGGAGCTGCGGGCACGCCGGGACGCCGTCGCGGCAGGCACTCACGGCGGGACGGAGTGTCCGTGACGGCCTCATCATCTACGATGGTCACGTCTTCGTGCCTCCCACGTCGGCTGTACTTCCCGACATCTTGCAGCTTGCCCACACCGCGGGCCACGAGGGCGTCCAGAAAACGCTGCAACGCCTACGCGCCACCTTCTACCTTGACCACGACCGCCGCACCGTCAGCGACTTCGTCCGCGCCTGCTCCACCTGCCAGCGGAACAAGATGGAGGCCCTGCATCCCGCGGGGCTTCTCTAGCCGCTGCCGGTGCCGTCCCGCGTATGGGCGGACATCGCGATGGACTACGTTGAGGCACTGCCCAAGGTGCATGGCTAGAGCGTCCTTCTTACTGTGGTGGACAGGTTCTCCAAGTTCGCCCACTTCATTTTGTTGGGGCACCCGTACACGGCAACGTCAGTGGCTCACGCGTTCTTCCACGAGATCGTCCGTCTACATGGGTTTCCTGACTCCATAGTCCGTGATCGTGATCTGGTGTTCACCGGTCACGTTTGGCGTGACCTGTTCCGCCGCGCCGGCGTCCAGTTGCGGCTGAGCACCGCCTTCCACCCCCAAACGGATGGACAATCGGAGGCTGTCAACAAGACCATCGCCATGTACCTCCGATGCATCACCAGCGATCGTCCACGGGACTGGCTTGACTGGCTTCCGTGGGCGGAGTACTGCTACAACACCTCCTTCCATTCGGCGCTCCGTACGACGCCGTTCAAAGTCGTCTATGGCAGGGACCCCCCGGAACTGCTGCCCTATGCGCCGGCCTCAGCTAACACGGACACCGTCGACGCTCTGCTCTCCAGCCACGACGAGTTCCTGCATGAGGTGCGCGCTCGCCTCCTCCAGGCACATGAGTATGCTCGTCGCCACTACGACGCCCATCATCGACAATTGGAGTTCGCGGTGGGGGACTGGGTGCTCCTTCGTCTGCTGCACCGGCCCACCAAATCCCTGGTCCCCGGCCACCGCGGCAAATTGGCCCCCAAGTACGCGGGGCCCTACCAGGTGCTAGAACGCATCGGCCCGGTGGCCTATCGCCTGCGTCTCCCGGACGGCGCCAGGATACATGACGTCTTCCATGTCGGCATCCTGAAGCCGTTCCGCGGTGCTCCGCCGGCTACCGTCCCTGCTCTACCTCCTCTCCAACATGGCAGGCCGCTACAACAGCCGGAACGGGTCCTACGTGCCAGCCTTCGGCGCGGTGAGTGGCAGATCCTCGTCCAGTGGGCCAACATGCCGGCGTCAGAGGCAACTTGGGAATCTGTCGAGGCGTTCCGGGCAGCCTACCCCTCGTTCCAGCTCGAGGACGAGCTGTTTCCCGAGGGGGGGAGAGATGTTATAGTCGGTCAAGTGTACCAGAGGAGGCAACGCACCACCAGTGGCTAGAGTGCGGCTTCAGTTGGTTAGATCAGCTTCAGCTTGTTAGATCGCAAGAGGTTTGCGTGGAGTTTGTTGGAAGTTTGTTAGCTGCATGTTTAGTTTTTAGTTTGTTCCTAAATTAGTGGCATGCTTATAATTCGCCTATAAGGCAGACCATTTGATAATGAAGAGTTAACATGGGATTGAGCACTGTTCACCATCTCCTCCTTGCCGCCCAAATTCCAGGCGGCGCCGCCACGGCGCTGCCTTCGCCGCTGAGGAGTCAAGCCACGTCCAGCAACCGCCCACTCTTACCCCCTACGCAGCCTAACCCGTAACAGCCACTGGCTCTAAGGTTGCACAGCATAACATTTAAAATCCGAACAAGCGGAGAGGAAAAACTGTTGGATGGCACCGGTTCTGACACTTGCAATGAACACTAGGAAATCACTATAGGAATGACGAGGGGAACTAGCACCCTCGATCATATTATCATACAATACCTGATACAATTACAGGCTTCGTGCCGCTAATAGCAGAGCCCTGATAGTTACGGGTCCGACAAATTCAGAAGCGTAATAGCAATGACCAGGAAAGAACGCAAAAGAAATCACGAGAAGCCAACACAATCCCACAGCTAATCTCGCCTTTCTAGTTCCCTTCCAGCAGCCTCCTGCATATATAGCTGCAGGCCACGCCACTTCGCTCACTTGTACTCCAGGATCATGTTGTTCTCTGGGGCCAGGCCAACGCAGGCCCTCATGATGTTCTCCAGCATCGCCCTCTGCTTTGCCAGAGCGTTCACCACCGGTGTGCCAGGGGGAACCTGTTGTTTAGGATTTGCAAGAGATGATTAGCGGCTGGATTGGAGCAAAATGCAGTGCAGTGATGCCGGAATGCAGGAGAAAAGGCTTACCAGGGGTGCCTTGGTGAGGTAGCTCAGGATGGTGGCCACTGGGTGGAAGGAGTGGAACTTGTCCTGCATATTAAGAGAGACATTAGATGGTGTTAATGTGCTGAATCACCTAGCGTGCTTCGGGTTATTCACTTGGTGGGCTCTTACCTCCCCCTCAGCTTTTAGCTGGATCCTGGTGCTGAGCTCAGCCAGGAGCACCAGATCAAGGATGATAGGTGCGGCGAGGAGTGAGTCCTCACAGGTGTTGTGCAGCACGATGGTGTTCTTGCCGCCCATGAAGATCTCGGAGGTGTACTCGTCCATAGCCCTCTTACTGTCTCCCACATACGGCACATACTGCAACAAAAGAGTGGCAAGTCTCAACGTAAATCTACCTTTCGATTGTTGCATGTGTCAACTTTTAACAAGGTGGAAGATTTAACTGACAGACCTTGATGACAACAACATGATCGGGATGCTCGCCAGGCTCATAGAGGATGGCATTGCTTGAGACCATGTCATCCACCACATTGCTCTTGGATATCTCCTTGGACCTGAATGTTTGAGGGGCAGACAGGTTCATGCCATCGTTGTTTCCAAGGTGGTTGTAGCTCACAATTGAGGTGGGCTGCATGGACATAGAAGAATTATTGTAAGTACGGAGTTTGCCAAATACACTTCATCTTAATAGAAGAGAGAGATTAGGTTTCGTTGGTTGATAACTTGTACCTTTATTCCAGCACCAACAAGGAAATCAACCAAGACAGATTTCATCTTGGTCTGTCCACTCTTGAAGTCGTCACCACCAATCAAGCAGTTGTTCTTAATAGCAAGATCAATCAGCCCTACAAACATGCAACAAGTATTAATAAGCCTTGGAACACAAACGCGAGTATGCGACACCATAAAACTTTGCGCACACCCCAAACCACCCACCTGGCACAAAGGTGTTCTGGGGGCTCCCATTAATGAACGGCACCCCCTCCATGACACAAGCAATGGCATATAGTGTTGATGGCGAGATCTCCGCCTCGTTCTTGTCCACAGATGCCAGCAGATTCTCCATTGTGTCGTTGAGACCAGTGCATACATTGCTGTACCTTTCAGTGTTTGCAGTCCACAGCACAACTATCTTGTCCACTTTGTTCTTCTCCTTAAACTCCCTGTTTCATTAGCTACATAAGCCATAGTTTCTATAATGGATTACTTATACTAGTGAACCATGTTGCTTCAACCATGTTAATCTAGGTAGTCAAACCATGTCCGCCAAAATATATCATTCATTAACTATGTATAATTGCTTAAGCTTTCAGTAGTTTCAGTTCTTTGTGGAGTCCTCATGGAAGTGAGAGTGGTTGGTGTATACACAATGTCACATTGTTTGACACCAGTGAAACAATACGTTCTGATATGTATGTATATATGTACCCAATTCATAGTATTATTTCTTTGTTTTATGTTGCGCTGAGTGCACTTCTTTGATTGCACCAAGGCACGTTAGCATCCATATCAATATACCTGATATCCTTGATGATCTGCTCCACCTGTTCTTTCTTGGTGCCCTTGATGACATTGTTGGCACGAGAACCCTGGTTAGCGGCGATGAAGTCCGGGTCATAGATGCCGGGAAGTGGCACCATGGACTCCATGTAGGGCCTGAGCTGCTTCTGCAGGTCAATGTCCAGCACCTTGGCCCTGGTCATGGAATCAGCCAGGTTCATGTTGCTGATGTCCCAGCCTCCAAACACAAGGTCGTCTGGGTTCACCTGAAATCAGATCAACATTTCAACTTGGTCATGAAAAGAAGACCACAAAGTTTGCGAACCTGCAACCAGTTATATTAGCACCACCGTCAGTAGTGCACGAGTGTAATCCAAAGATGCTGGAACCTTTCAGCTCACCACAGAACCTTTTGACTTGCAAGTAGGATCACAACATGGCAGGCCAAGTCTACTGTTTCAGCACCTTTCTGACAATACTTTGCCTTTTCGTTATGCTAAGTTTAACATTCCTTTCAGAAAATGAGAACCTTTATTTTTTTTTCAAAGCAATGATTAACATTCCGTTTACTTGAGACCACTGGCCTGAAAGACAGGTTCATTTTGTAACATCAACTAGCACATATGCCTTGTTCTGCATGTCTGTTTGGTTTCAGTAAAAGAAGACTACTCCTAGAAGTATATAATAGATCATTACCATGGGCAGGAGGCTCTTGAACGGCGCATAGATCTCCTCCCCGTTGTAGCTGCCGACTCTGATGGTGGAGGCCTGGGTGAGGGAGCCGAAGTAGTTGGCTTGCTGCACCTTGTCCTTGGTCGCCCATGAGATCCCCCTGAAACAACCACCAACAGATTCAGGTCTCTCTTAGGCCACAGAATGAAAAATATGGACGATAATACTCCTTACTCCACAGGAACGGGAAGCAACATGGGACAAATTAAGCACTTACTCCCTGTTGGCAATGACCCCAGCCGTCAGCGTGGACCCGTTGTTGCCTCCCCACCCCACAAGCATCACCCTGCACCACAAGAGCAGAAAAGTCAGCATCATCCGTTAGACAAAGACAAGTGGCTGACACCGTAACACAACGAGCTGCACGTAGGCAACATGCATAGGAACAGGAACGAAACAAAAGGGGGTCCAGGTCTCCAGGATGGCAGATGGCTTCGCATGCACACTTGCTGATCACCTTGTTCGCTTAGATCGTTTACGTGGCTTATAAGCCGGTGGCTGATGCTGTTTCGTTGGGAGAGAAAAATACAGTATTATAGCTGATAAGCATGCTTAATACGATCGAGCGAACAGGATCACGTGCACAGGGCAAAACAAACTAGTAAGACGAAGTTCAGGAAAAGGACGTTTGTGTAATCGTTGAACAGTAAGCGAAGGATGAACAAAAGTGGAAACGGAACGTGCAAGGCACCATCGAATCGAATTTCACATCGAGCCGATTCGACGCATCCGGATGGCCAAGTGTGTGCGTAACTGTCAACGATTACGACGGGTCGTTTTCAGGCAAAGCAGTAAGATTCCATTAGGATTTACAAGGAGGGAACGGCAGACTGGTTGATATCGACGGTGGGGGGAGGGATAAGGGTCATAGAGAGAGAGAGAGAGAGAGAGGCAGGGGCTGCATCCGTACGTACCCAAGTTTGGGGACGGCGGTGCTGGTCCGGAAGTTGTACTTGACGGACTTGGGGCGGACGACCCAGCGGGAGGCGCCGTCCTTGCCCTCGTGCACCAGCTCCGTCGTGTCGTACCGGTACTCCGACTCGATCTCCGTCGGGCCGTACCGCACATGGGGGCTCTCGACGCGGAAGCTCTTGATGAACATCTTGCCTTTCCTCCCCTCTCACTGCTCTCCCCGAATGGAATGCCAAGCGAGGTAGCGAGCGCAGCGCGAGCGAGAGGATGAAGGAGGCTGCTGCTGCTGGGTTGGGTTGTGTTGTGTGATCGGGGAAGAGTGCCCAGGGCGGGGGACTTATAGAGGGTTCGGCGGCCACTCCCACGAGGCGGCCCACGAGTAGCTGGCTCTTCACGGCGTCGGCCCCACTTGAAAGAAACGGACCCCACCGGATCGGAGGGATCGGAGGAGGAGCGACGTGGTAGCCGCGTTAGATACGATTTGAGCCGCCGCCCGCCGGGCGACTGGGTATTGCCGGAAGGCCGGAACTTTTGCTGCACCGCAGGCAGAGACAGCAGAGGAAGGGAGCGAAATGGGAGGGCGGCGGCCGGCGGCTGTTCGGGATCGTGGATCTGCTGGTTGGTTTGACGTGAGAGAAAAATACGAACATGGCTGTGGCTGTGGCTGTGAGCGATAGGAAGAAGATGGCGAGCCGTCGGATGGAGGTTTTGGGTTCGGGAAGACGACGGAGGAGCCGATGGAAAATCCTCTGTAATGTGTGAGTTTGCATATTCATCCTTCTTCTTTTCCTGTTTTAACAGCGGGAGAGTAGTGGATCTCCGGATAGGGACCGCACAAGTCATGGCAGGTTTTAGTCTTAGGGCCTGTTTGTTTTGACAGCGGCTCCTAAAATTCCTGTCACATTGAATGTTTATATACATATATGAAATATTAAATATAGATTAATTACAAAATTAATTGCACAACTTATAACTAATTTACAAGAAGAATCTTTTAAGCCTAATTAGTTCATGATTTGACAACGTGGGGTTACAGTAAACACGTGCTAATGACATGACTTGGACGAAGGCGACATGATGATCCCACGATCAACATCATAAACAAGACCCTAGAAACACAAGAGAAGACTCAAGATATCGAGCAAAGTCCAAGCACGAAGATAGAAACCAAGCCGGACGCAAGATCGTGAAGAAACGAGCTTCACAGAGGTGACCGGACACGGTCCTTATAGCGATCGAACGTGTCCGATCAAGTTGTTCGGCAACACCAGGCGTCGGCAGTTGTGACCGGACGCTGAGTGAAGCAGTGATCGGACGCACCGGTGACACTGTTTATCGTCACGGCAATGTTTTCAGCGTGACCGGACGCAGTGGCACTGGACGACCGGATGCACGAAGTACAGCGTCCGATCGTTTCCAGAGAGGTTCCAGAGCGGTGCCAGCGCGACCAGATGCGTCCGGTCGATGATGACCGGACTCAGCCCAGAGTCCGATCAGCGTACGCGGTCAACGGTCGGGACGACCGGACGCGTTCGGTCAGGACGTGATCAGCGTCCGGTTAGTAGCAGAAAGTTGGGTTTCGTTCTTAACGGCTACTTTCTCAGTGGAGCTTATAAATAGACCCCCCAACCGGCCATTTGAGTAGTGGAGAGCTGAGCAAACATACCACGGGTGTTCATACACCATTTTAGTGATCTTCACTTGCATAGTGCTTAGTGATTCATTATATGATTAGCGTAGGCGCTGAGCAAAGTGCTTAGGTTGATTAGACCACCGCTTATGCGCTTGCTCTAGGTTTGGGCCTACTGTTTAGTGAGGTTTGCATATCTCTTACCACTCGGTGCTTGCGTGCACCATTGTTGTACATCGGAGGGACTTGTAGTCTTGCGAGATCACACCAACCGTGTTTGTGGTGTGGCCGCCACCGTGTACCGGAGGGAACAAGGCCCGCGATGTTTCGGCCAGAAGCTTGATCGTGAAGACGGCGGTGAGCGGTCTAGGAGAGGCTTCCTGGAAGTCACACCGGAGACCCACTTGCGCGTGGGGAAGGCCCAGGGCTATCCACGAAGTTATCCGATCGGGAGCTTGGCGCTTACGAGGGATTCCTTGCAAGGGGCTCCAAAGAGGACTAGGGGAAAGCTTGCGCGCTTCTCGATATCTCGGTAAAAATACCAGAGTCATCGACGAGAGTTTGCATATCTATACCTTACTCTTTATCTTTCGCATTTACATTGTTTGCATAACTCTTTTTGCGGTAGAGATAGCAACACACTAGTAAAATCGTAGTTGCACATTTAGATAGTTTATCTTTTTCATAGGTTTTGCTAAGGATAGAAAATAAGGTCATAGTTTAGAGTTAGAGTTTTAAGTTGCCTAATTCACCCCCCTCTTAGGTGTAATGGGCCCTTTCAATTGGTATCCGAGCCAGGTTGGCTCAATTTGGACCTTTGGCTTCACCATCGTTGAGCCGACGCTATTTAGAGGGGTTGAGATGGATACCTCTAGGTCTCCGCACTTTGACGACACTAACTTCACCTACTATAAAGCTAGAAAGGCTTGTCACCTTGAGGCGGTAGATTTGGGTGTTTGGAGAGTCATCCGTGATGGGATGAAACCCATCAAGAATCCCGATATACCCACAAAGAGTGAAGAAAAAGAAATTTATTTCAATGCTAGAGCTAAAAATTGCTTGTTTAAATCTTTTAGCATAGATTTGTTTAACCAAGTCTTCACTTTAAATACGGCAAATGAAATTTGGTTAAAACTCTAAGAGCTCTATGATGGCACAACTAATGTCCGTGAGCAAAAATATTGTCTAGCTAAACAAAATTATGATTCCTTTAAAATGAATGATGATGAGCTTGTTCGTGATATGTATTCTCGTTTGAATCTAATTATCAATGAGCTCCATTCAATAGGATTAACGAAGCTAGATGATGTGAACATCGTGAGGAAGATCATCTCCGTGCTACCACAAAAGAAATTGCAAGCATCATCATCATCCTTCGCAACATGGAGGACTTGAGCACCATGACTCCGGCCATAGTCATTGGCAAGATAGTGGCATTTAAAATGTCACGGAAGATGGGTCAAGAAAAAGCCTCGTCATCAAGCAAAGGCAAAGCTCTCGCATGTAGTGAGAAAAAGAAGATGAAGGATAAGCAAGTGGAGACAAGCTCAAGCTCAAGCTCCTCAAGTGAAGAAGAAGAAGATGAGGATGATGATGCATCAAGTGATGATGATCAATCTTTCTGCTCCACCTTTGATCTTGATAAAGAATCAATCAAACTTATCAACAAGGTGGAGAGGATGATCCAAAGGCTCAATATCAAGGGTGTGCCCATCCAAATTCAAGATTTCATTTTAACCAATCAAAAAATGAGCAAAGGAAGAAAGGATGCTATGGATGCGGTGAGTTGGGGCACTTTGTATAAGTTTGTCCAAACAAGCCCACACCCAAGATAAAGAAGAAGGCGTGCAAGGACAAAGACCTCACATCAATAAAGTCATGGGATGATTCTTCAAGTGAAGAAGAAGACCATCACAAGAGGTGAGGGCACAAGCACTTATCATCAAGCACCTCACGTGTGTGCCTTATGGCACGAGGTAACAAAAAGCCTATCCCTAGTGATAGTGACAACGATAGTGATGATAAGCTACCTTCTTATGGTGAAATTGTGCAAGAAAATCTTAACTTTGCTAAAGTTTGCACTAGTCAACAAAAGAAGCTTGAAAAATTAAAAGAAAAACTAGATAGCTCACAACAAACTTATGATACTTTGCTTGAACAATATGAAACTTTTGCCAATCTTAATATGGAGATATCTACTAAAATTGAGCAACTTGAGACTAGTGTAAACACAAATAATTACACAATCAATGATGAGCAACTTGTAAAAAAATGAAAAATTAAAGGAAAAGTTAGCTAGCTCACAAGATGATTATAAAAGTTTGCTCGCTAAAATGGAAACCATGTGCAAACATTATGATGAGCTAACAAATAAAGTTGTTAATCTTGAAGCCGTCGGTACAACCCCCACCGAGGCACCTAAAAAGAAAGATTTAATTTTTGACATTTCTAAAAAGGATGCCTCTACTTCTGGTAATGATTTATGTTTAGACTTACCCTTGTGCAACCAAGTTTGTGTTAAGAAAGTTATTGTAGAAACATACACACAAGACGTCACAATGGAGAATGAGCAACTCAAGTAAGAAGTGGCTCGCCTCACCAAGGACTTGACTCAAGTGAAAGGCAAGACGGAGCAAGCCCAACTTCATCAAGATAACAACATCAAGGGAGTGAAGAAGCTTGATGAAGGACAAATCATGGTTTGCTACGTATGCCACAAGTAAGGCCACAAGTCCTATGAGTATAAGGTGAAGAATGGGGGAGGAGAAAAGAATAAAGAGAAAAACAAAAGGCAAACAAGCAAGCTCTCCAACACCTATATCAACAAGGTGGATAAAAAGAGCTCCACTCCTTATCTCTTGAAGAAGAAGAAAAATAATGAGGTGGTGGCCATCAAGGTGAACAAGCAAGCCAACAATGAGGCCAAACGCATTTGGGTGCCAAAGGAAATCATTTCCAACATGAAGAGCACCAAGAAAGTTTGAATCCCTAAAGGGAAGTGAGAAGTCCGATGAACTTCGGAGAATTTGAAGACTTGGCAAAGTGAGTTAGTGAATACTATGGACCCAAATTCCCCTTCCCATGTAAAGTAACTAGATTTAATTTCTTGTAATTTCAATGAGCATCTAGTTCATTTTCATGCCTAGGTTTGTATTTTCATGTTTAATCTTTTATCTTGCATACACTAGGTATATCTTATGGTAGGCTTACTCGATTTCATTCTTAACCCTTGGAGCAAACCTACATGGTTTAAATTGTTTAGGAGCACGGCACATAGCTTGCTTTATAATTGTTCATCTAATATGTGACAAAGTCCAAATTGTAGATAATTTCTCCCAAATATCATTTTCGAAAATGATTCTCACATTCATGTGATGTCATCTTTCAAGTGGTATATTTTATTCTAAAATCAATGTGCATGTCTCCTACAAGTATTCCATAATTGTGTGCACAAATTTAGAAGGAGATTACTCTACAAGTTGGATGCTTTGAGACTAACACCTTTTTAAGTTTATCATGTGTGTAGTAGTCTCATTGCGAGGAAAATGGAGTCCCCAGAG